GAGGACACAAACCCCATTACGGAGGTGCCATGCTCATGACTTCTTCTAAACCTAATTACCTCCCACAGGCCTTATCTCCTAATACCATCACATTGGAGGCTAGGGTTTTATAATATGACATAACAGGTTTCATCTACAGACTCCACTAAGGGAGGATCTATTGCCAAGTTTACTCAGTGGTTGTGGGCACTGAGTTCTTTGTGGGTTGTTGGTTTTGAAAGTTATTTCCGTATTGGCCCTTGAATAGAGGCCTCCACAGGGGGCTCTCCACATTGTGACTTTCACGTGTGGCAGCTGTCTTCCATCAAAGGCAGCAAGTGAGAGAGCAGGAAAGGGCATGCAAAACACCAGCCATAGTCCTTTCTGCCCATCACCTTTGCCATGATGTATTCATTAAAGCAGGCCAGTAGTGCAGCCCCCACCAGGAGCCGCTAACACAAGGCTCCAATATCAAGAGGCCTGTCAAGGCCGCCCACAGCAGTGTCTTCTGGCAGCATCCTTGTCTTGAAATTCACCGATGGCCATGATATTCTCCTGGCGGATTTGCAGAGTTGACCTCTGTCACTAGGCCATTTCTTATTTTGAGAGTTTTGTCCTCTGAAGAAGATAGGAATGAAAATGTTTAATTTCACATCCTGTAATTTCTGGCTCCTTTATGTTTCTTCTAAATTCTGGGGAAATGAAGTAGGTTTTTTGTTTTGTTTTTTAGTTTATCTGACTTCTCTTGTTGTATATCCTAACTGTCTAAAAGAAACCAAGGGAAGGGGAGGGGAGGGTGTGGGAGGGGAGAGGAGGAAGAAAGAAGCTATTCAACTCAACATTCTATCCAGAAATCTCCCAGTCAGATCTCTGTGTTCATTATGTATCTTTTTTATCTTTCATATTCTGCAGGTTAATTTGGTAAATTGTTTTTCTAATACCTAATGAGATCTAGCCTGCAGTAACTATAGTCTCACTGTCCTTTTATATTATTCTTCACTAAAAGTCCTTCCAGCTTCCCTCTGATCCCAAAGCCACTGCCATATGTCTTGGGTTTCAGTTACAGCAGGACCCCACTTCTAAGGTATGAAGTTTTGCTCAGAAGTCCACTGTTTACGTAAGCTGGGGACCTGGACTCTTCTCTACATGGGTCACTGCTGGTGGTTGCTTGGGCTTCCTCCAATGAGTGGATGTGGGAACTATGAGGAGGTAAAAATCAGAGGTGGTGTGCAACTATGTGAATATACTTAACACTACTGAACTGCACTTAGAAATGGTGATGGCAAATTTTATGTTATATCACTGTTAGAAAAAAACAAATACATAAATAGATAAGAACAAGGGAAGATGGTGATGGCTTGGAGGAGGGTGGCAGTAGAGACAGAAAAAGAGGGAGGGAGGGAGGGAAGGAGAGCTGTCAAAGGTGACAAAACCCAATAAAACGCAGCCTCTGGCCACAAGAACTTCTTTGGTCCAGCAGTTAACAGACAATCACAACACGTGGTGGCTAAAACAGTTTCCTGCTGCAAAGTTAGCACAGGTAAAAGCCCAGACCATGTAAATAGCCTCAAAATAGACTTTTAATGCCTGTAATTCCCAGAGATATTTAAGATGTAATTATGGGTTTGAATTTCTTCAAGCAAGCCTCAAAAGGAACAGTGCCAGAGAAACAGTGATGAGTAATAAAAACTACAGGTGCATACAATATTTTCCGTTCAATCTGGCATGTAACCTTGTAGACCAGACAGAAATATGGGAGGGCAGTGGGTAGGGGAGAGGGCAGATGTTTCTTGGTCATTAGCCCAATTTTTCCAGGATATAAAATCCCTTTGTACTCTTATAATTCTTAGTATGCCTGGAAACTGTCGCTACTGAGGAGTACTCACTCTTGAAACTTTCTTTCTTTGAAGTAGTAAACAAGTCATAAAGATCATTTATAGCCTGGCTGAATGTACATCTCCTCTCCCTCCACTACACACACACACACACACACACACACACACACACACACACACACACACTCCCCTCAGTCACAAAGTTTTATAAATAGTGGAAGTCTATTTATAGCTTTTCCTTGGGTTTTGTTGGTAACAGGTTACCTGATTTTTTCCTGCAAATAAGTCTACAACACTCTTCATAGAAAAGACAGTTAACAGGAATCTCTTTCTCCCCAACAGATTGCCCTATCCTCATACCCTCTGCTGAGACACCTGCATTTCACTCTCCCCACCGACAGTCTACTACAGGTATCTCTGCTGTCTTGATATCTTTATTGCCTGATATGGTAACACAATTGTGGGATTTGGCCTTTTATTTTTATTTTTTGCAGTACTGGGGATTGAACTCAGGACCTTGCACTTACTAGGCAAGTACCTACCACTTGAGCCACACCTCCAGCCCTTTTTTGCTGTAGTTATTTTTTGGATAAGGTCTTAAGTTTTTGTTCAGATCCTTGTAGCTGGGATGGCAGCTACAAGCTTATTTTAAGATGGGTATTGCTAACGTTTTGCCCAGGTTGGCCTTGAACCTTGATCCTCCCAATTTCTGCCTCTCTAGTAGCTGGGATTACACGAGTGAGCCACCATGCTGGCTTGCCTTTTATTTCTTAAAATCTCACAAGTTGTCCCATTCTGTGCAAGATCTACATGTAGGCACTGCACTCTACAAAGTAATGAATGAAGACCATTGCCCTGACTCTGCCTAGGGACCCTGTGGGGGAGGTGTCCAGTCTAAGATGCCTCCACTAATTCAGTCCTCCCTCCTGGACCATGAAAGGATCCCACAAGGTCCAAGCCTCAGAACCAGTAACTGAGAGAACTTACGTGCTTATCATGCAAAAATAATAGCGTGCCTATGTGCTAGGCGCTGGCTAGATGTTTGAAAGACAACAATGAAGCCAGACAAGGCTTCCTCTCATGGAACTTATTTTTGTTTCTTATTCCAGAGATTTCTGACTTTTAACAATGGACAAAGTCCCGGTTTGGCTTAAAGACAAAAGAATTGGGTTCAACATTTGGAATTAAGCCACTTTTCCCTGGGTGAGGTTGGAGGAGGTTCTCCCAGCATCCTGAAATCACACAACCTATTCCACCTTCTCCTAAGTGGGCTCTGACTGGAACCATCAGCTTGCTTAATTGTCATTTTTCTTGGACCCTTGCCAGGCCCCAGCAAAACAATGACTTTCTGTAGTGTATTCAGTAACTGGCAAGAATGGCCAAGGAGGGTCTGCCATTACTGGCCAGCACAGGGGCCCAAGACCACCACTCAGCTATTGCTCAGGGAGACAGTGCCCCCTCGTGGTTCCTCCTGTAACTGGGGGAGAAGCTGGCAGCAGGAAAAGCCGCCAATGAACACACCCAATGTATGAAATGAGGACAAAGTTTCCAAATTAATTCTAAGTAGACTTGCTTCTTCTGAGCGTCTGCAACTGCAGTTTTGATGGACTGTTTATTTCCCTCCAGGACACACTTTTCTTCCTATGGAGAACAATGACATAATGACAGCAATTAAAGGAAAACTTTTTTTCCTACAGAAACTTTTTTCCCCCCAATTTCCAGACCCCAAAGAAAAAGCTCAACAAGTAAGTCCAAGTATCACTACTGATTTTTCTCTTCATAACGCCTTTAAAGCCAAAAAAAGTTTGTGTGTTTTGCTTTCATAATTTGAAACAGGACTCTGCCATTATGTTGCTGTGGAGTTGTTTTGAGTCTCCACAACACCACTTTCAACTCCCTGAAGGCAGGGCCCTTATCTCCAATTTCCACCAGCCACCTCCACCCCATCCCCAGCAGTCCTTAAAGCACTGCAGGGTAAGGAATGATGGGGGGAGGAGCGGGAGAGATAATTAAGTTAGCAAGTAAATAACTAGAAGTTGTGATTGTGGCTAGGTCTACTGATACATGGAGTTTAAAATTTTTACGTTTGTAGCAGTCAAGTTTAAATGATTCAGTATTGGAAATGCTCTCTAAAGCTAGGGAAAAAAAAAAATCTTCCCCTAAAACCCTGTGAGATAAATACAACTCCCCTTTCACAGAGGAGGAAACAGAAGCTCTGGGTCTTTCTGAGGCTCCGGTGCCACCGGATGTGAAGATTTGGTGCTTTGACCGTCGGGGATCATCTACACTGACCTCCAGCCGTGAGAAATGGTCATTTCACCAACAAGTATTTATTGAGTGCCTACTATACACCAGGTAGCCCATTTAAGTAGCCAGAGGATTAAAAAGCTAGACAGGGCACGGTCTTGGACTCCAGGAAGGGGCTCTCTGAAGACAGAGGGAGCCGGCCAGGTAAACAAAGGATTCCAGAACACTCTGGTGAGGGCCGGGCTAGTCAGAACAGGGGCCACCGGAAGCCTAGAGCGCAGCAGCCGAGCCGGTGCGGGGAAGCCAGGCGAGCTTTCCTAGGGCCCAAGCATTTGGAGTGCGTTTGAAGTCATGTCCTGAAAAAGCCAGCCTACAGTGGTCTGTCCCCGGTGTCACTTGCGTTCTCTCATACTGTCATTTCAAGCTGCGGGCTGGGGGTGGGGGGGTGTCCACTGGTACTGACCCGGGAGAGAGGGGTGCAAATCCGTCGCAAAAAAGCAAACAAAAGTAGCACTGGCAGGCCTGGTTCCCCGAATTCCCTTTCCAAGCCCACGCGCGTGGACACGAGGGGCCAACTGAGGGCGTACTCGGGTCGGGGTCCCCGAGGTCCCCGGGGCCGGGGGCAGCGGGAGGAGCTGACCTGGTTGATTCCCTCAGGGTCCCCGGCCATGCGATCCCCCGCCGGCTGGGGCTGGGGCTGGGGTCGCCGCTTCCGGCCGGGCCTCCCTTGCGCGCGCCATCCGGCCGCGGGGCCGCCCCTCCTCCCGCGGGGGGCTTCGCGGTGCCCGTCCCGCCGCTCGGGCTGGAGCCCGCAGCCCAAGCCCAGGGAGGGCGGAGGGAGGGAGGGGAGGGGACAGGGAGGGGAGGGAGGAAGCGACAGAAAGGAGGCTGCTCCATCCCGGACTTCCCAGAGCCTGCCAGGAGCGCGCACTCAGCGGCTCTCGGGTCCCTGCGTCCCACCGCGGCCCGCGCCCCGCACCGCCACCTCCTCCTCCTCCTCCTTCTCCTCCTCCTCCTTCTCCTCCTCCTCTTCCTCTCTGGCCACCCCTCGTCCTCTCCCGCAGCAGTCGCTAAGCCCAGGCAGCAGCAGCCACCCCCAAGCCCAACTCTCGGGGCTCAGTCCCGGGACGCGCGCCCTCGCCCCATCCTTTCTTCCTTCCTCCTCCCGTCCCCGCGGTCCCCGCGGATCCCGGGAGTCTCGGCCCGCGCCCTGCCCGGTCTCCCTCGCACTTCCTGAGTCGCGGGCCGCCGCCTCGCCTCGCCTCGCAGCGGGAGCCCGAGCCCGACGCGCCGCTGCCCGGCTCCAGCCCCGCAGCCCGCGGCGCCCGCCCGCCCCGCGCCCCAGCGCTCCCGGCGAGGAAGCACCGGGAAGATGAACAACGGCGGCAAAGCCGAGAAGGAGAACACCCCGAACGAGGCCAACCTTCAGGAGGAAGAGGTACGGACCGGCTCGGTGCGGTGGCGGGCGCGACCCGGGTCGGAAGTGCGGGCGCCGAACCGGCGGGGCGCGGGTCCCCGGGGCGCCGCGATCACGGTTTGGGGACTGCCCTGGCCCCCAAGGCTCAGCGGCCAGAACGGTGGCCCCGGGACGGTCTCTCTGGGAGCATGTGTTTTTTTTTTGGGGGGGGGGCCACGCGTGTCTGCGTGCCTAACATTGCGTAACTTTGAGGACTTTTTGGTGACTTTTGTAACTACAGTGCTCAGCTTTGTTTGCCCGGGATTTAAAAAGAGGAACAAGAGCTGACTCCTGGGTGACCTCAGATGATTGGGACCGGGAGGGTCAGGACTTAGCCCTCCGCCTGGGGCTGGAACTTGGCGGGGAAGGTGGGGGTGGGCAAGGGAGGAAGAAACTCGGGGAAAAGTTCTCGTTGAAAGCTGCCCCAGTCGCCCTCCCTCCCTTTAGTGTTAGAAGTTCTGGGTGAAATAGCTTTCTAGCTGAGACATTTTGGATTAATAGATAACCCATCAGCCACATTCTTCTCTGATGAGTCAAAGACCCCCGAACCTCGGCTTTTGTAAACTTTGGGGCGATGCGGAATGGCGGGGCGCGGCGCGGTGCGGCGCGGGGGGAGCAGGAAAAAAAGGGTTTTAAAACTCCCAACAATTCACCAAATGCTCATCGAGGATGTTTTAATGGGGCTTTGGTTTCTCAGCATAAATTTGATGGGATGCATCCAAAATAATGATTAAGAAAGTTTGGCGGCGGCGGAAACAAAATTTAGTAAGTGTGGGGATAGGGGGCTCCTGAGCAAATGTTTCCGAAGCTTGGAGCTAGGATATTTGTGATATCCTATCAAAAGACTTTCTGGAGGTCAAGAAACAGCAATTTTTTTTACTTTTGGGAATCCCACGGAGTTCAGTTCTTAAGCACGCTACAAGAGTGTAACCTGTAAGGCGTTCTTAACAGGTATTGCATCTTTATAAAGAGGGTGGACACAGAAGGCAAACCGATTCTAACGCTGATAGGGTGGGGAGATTGTTGTTGAGACCCTGTGTTTGTGTGCAAACTAAAATCCTGAGAGTGAAACCAAAAATCGCAGAGGAATTCATCAATGCACCCAAGACCTCTGCATGTTATCCTCTATAAAATGGGAACTATTTAAATAGGGAAGACAGGACAGACCTGAGATTATGCAAAAACAATGCAAAATAAGATAAAAGATTTTCCTCTTGACGCAGTTGTATGGTCGGTGAATTGCAGTAAGCCGCTCTGACCTTAGGAAATTGCCTCTTTTATTAGCAAGTAGTTTACGTGCTTGTTTTATAATTACAAGTGTAGGAATAGCGCTATTTCCTTTTCAAAGAAGTGGAGACTTGAATTGAAAGTTCCACTATTTTCTTGGTCCTCACCTGCTGCTTTTCAATTTATTTTTCCGACCACTAAATTTTTTTTAAATTATGGCAAGTTTGTTGTTTTAGAAACCTTGCTATATTTAACCAATTCACTTAACCCCTCAAAGTAAATCATGGCTTCAGAAACCGATTTTGGTTAAGATTGGCAACATCCTAACTTCTAAGGGCGCAAGCATGTCTTGTGTAAAACCATCTTTCTCCATCCACACAACTGACAAAACTTGTAACAGAAAAAGATAGTCTGAAAAAAGGAAAGTGTTATGTATTTACTTTTATGATTTTGGCAAGTAGCAAAATAGGTTTGTCTCCTTCCATGCCCACTTAACTTAAAATTTTATAAAGTCACATTTTCCTCTTGACATGTCTCTGTGTTAATGTGAACTTGCATACAATAAATCTGGCCATGGGCTACCTATGGACAGTTTTCTGTCTTTTGTCCCATTGCTATGACCGTTCCTTTCCAGGTAGGAATGGCTTGTGCCTGTTGAAGGTGTTAGTGGTTTTTAGCAAAATACTTGTTATTTGTAAAACAAGATAGGTATAAGATTTCAGAACCCAAGTTCATAAACAAGGTGGAGTGTACAAAATAGATGCACCATGAAGAGTGAGGTTTATTTATTTAATTCTTTTTCTTTTCTTTTTATTATCATTATTTTTTGATCACTGGGCATTGAACCGAGGATCTCACACATGCGAGGCAAGCACATGCTGAATTATTCTATCAGTCGTTTTTAAATTTTGTTTTGAGACACCGTGCTAAGTTGCCCAGACAGGCCTGGAACTTGCAGTCGTCTTGCCTGTCTCAGTACTGAGATTACAGGCGTGGACCACTGGCTGTAGAGGTTTATACAGTTAGAAATTGAGGGAAAGAAAATTGGCCAGAATGATCCAGGGGCACAAATCCTTGTCCTTGGTTTCTACTTTGTTTTTCAAAGTCTCCTAAGCTCTTTTTTTTCTAACCCTGAGTGCCACAAGTAAAATAAATATGGTTATTCGGTGAGTCCCATTAATGTACTAAACCACTCCGTTGGACCTATTCCCTGCCCACCCATGGATCAGCAATTTGTTTAAAAGCCTTGGCAGTGGACTCCAGTAAACAGAACACACATACATATAACATGTATATATACATAATGACAAGAGGAAAAATGTGTTTGCTTGTAACTTCTGGTGGCCAGAGAATTGACGTGGGAAAGTGAGTTCAATCATCCTGAAGAGAAAATAGTTTATTTCCTAGATCACCAGGGGTTTAGGCTTCCTACCACACTGGAGAATCTGAGATTTTTATTCTATTTTTGAACGAAGGTCCTCTTTGTCATCCATTATTTTAACCCTGTTTGAGAGATACTAATAGCTTGTGCGTATTTGGCTCCAGTGGTGTACAGTGAATGGCCCAGGGTTGAGGAGAATTTTTCTAAGATGGGGAAGTTTTTGAGAATTTGTGCAGATTGGATAGCCCTTAACAGAGAATAACCTTAAGATTTGCTAGGCAACTGTGGATGAGAGAGAACACATCTGGTGTGTTGTATATGTGTGTTCTTATGCAGGTTGTTTGTCTAAAGAAACCCAGTTGTCAAAATCTTACTGGAATCTGACACTAACAAGATTTATATGTATATTTGCAGGCTCTCAGATCATTTTACAATTAATAAAATAATTCAGGCAGGAGGATGGGAAGTCACGGGGCAACACAGAGAGACCCTATCTCAGAAAAAAAAAAATCCCTAAGATTTGCCTTTAATTGTATGATTCAACTTTATTAACTTTGATAAGTAATAGACCCATAATTATTTGTTTTATCTATTTTCATGTTTTAATATAGTCAGATATATCGACCTTTTCTGTCTTATAGGTAGAAATTTATTTGCTGATCACTGAATTTTCTACACAGAAATTTCTTTTTTTTTTTTTTTGGAAATCAGATGATATGTAATTTGGTTTTAATTTTATTTTATTCCTGTCATGGAGTGCTTTTCAGGCTGATTACACTTGACTTACACCAGGCATTTTACTACACTGAAGCAGTTTAGAGTACCAGTCAGTTCAGTCAAAGCAATTTAAAGAGAAATTAAACTGTAGAAGCCAAAAACTTGGTACTTACTGTTGGAATATTGATCAAAAAGATGTTTGGCAGGTGGTGGGCAGAAATCATATAAAGCCAGATCTTCAGAGGCTTTTTTACTTCACATTCTTTCTTTTAAAGTGCTTAGTAGTTTTGCGAAAGTATTGGAGTTGTAAAGAAAAAAATTTTTTTTTTAAATAATTGGCATGGGAAAGGCTAATGTCAGTGATGTGACAACCTTATTGAGCGCTAAGATTACACGATGACTTTGGGAAGGTACAGAATGATTTTGTACATTTAGCCAAGCTAAGTTTGGAGCCTCTGTTACTACAAATGAAATTTCATACAATAAAGTTCTATTTCAGTCATAGACTAGGATTTGGTGACAGTGATTTGGATGAAAGTGTAGTGACCTCATAATACAGTGATGTTGCAAGACGTCTGCCAATGTGGTGTGCACTTTGAGTTATTTTTCCAGAGTAGCTCTGTAATCTCCTGACAAACCCTATGCATATCGCATCTTAGTTTTGGGGGGCGCATAGATTAGGTGAGGCTGGGGTTCTTTTTTGGAGTGCTTCCCATATTACATTTGTAGGTTCATACTGATTTTTGCTTTGAGGATAAAAGTGATCAGTTCTGGTGATGGGGTTATAAATTGCTACATGCAGTGATGATAACAAATCGACACAGAGTTTCTGAAGGACTTGGGCATTACATATCAAAATAGAGTCCAGCCCTTCAATTTCACACTTGTGTTATTAGGAAATTACTAAGGAAGTAGGGCACAATATAGATTTATTTATAGGAATGATTATTGCAGAGTTACTTACAGGAGTGAAAATTCACAGACTTTGGGTCTAACAGAAGGAAACTGCTGAGTATATCATATAATTCCAGTAAGGGAATATTATGCAATCATTAAAGGCAATGCTCTTGAAGAGAAAAGCTTATCATGTGTATATTAATATAAACCTGTATGTGTGTGTGTGTGTGTGTGTTTAAAAACAACAAATTTATTTCCTATAGTTCTGGAGACCTGAAATCTGAAATCAAGGTGTTGTCATGCTTCCTGTAGATCTGTCCTTGCCTCTTAGTTTCTTGTGGCTCCAGATGTTTTAAAGACTATATTTTTATTGAGGGGATGATTCTCAAAACATTAAATGGGAAGAGCAGATTAGAGGCCAGTTATTCTAAATGTGTATGTTAAACCAAATGTAAATAAAATTTATGTAATTGTTGGGTCACAGACAATTGTTAATTGCTTACATTTTCTAAAAGGCACATAAATAATGAAGTGCCTTTCGGCTTTGAAGATTTTATTAAATTCTTTTGTGATCTGTGTAGGTGTCACAAGCGTCAGGTTGGTCACATTTAGTTTTGTGCACAAGCCTGGCTGCAGGAATCAGGTCTGTTTTTTGCCTCATTGCTGTTCTTCTGATACCTGTCTTACACATTCCTTTGTCCTGGATCATTTTGGTGATATTCAGCTGCTCTCCTTGTTGTAATATCCTTTCTCAATCCAT